CCCCAAAACCCCAAAACCCCAAAACCCCAAAACCCCAAAACCCCAAAATATACCATAAAAATTGAAAGTAATCTACTTTCACTGAATCCGGATGCATTATTCCCCTTAGTTCTGACCAATTGCTGATTAATCTCTATAACCGATTCCCTTCCTGACTTTCTCACTGAGTCATTTCCCATACATTGGGGAGTCTTTTCCAAATATATAGAAGTTTTCCTTAAGAGCAGGAGACTCAAAGGCCTATTTTCTCATGATTCCTTCTTCCTGCTCTATTATGATACCATTTTGCTGTATTTTATCAGTAAATTTTGGTAAGATTATTATTCTAGGCTCAGGATATTTCTGTCTTGGTCCCAATAAGATACTTCTGTCTGGGTTCTTTGTGCATCGAAATTTTATGAGAATTCAGTATTGGATTGGAAAGTTTCAAGAAAGATATTGGTAAACTTTGGCTGAAGAAGATCATTTATTGCTGAAATTCAGTTTTACATGTGGAAATCCTGGACAAAGAGTATAGTTTTAGCCTCAAAAGGTACAATAAGGACTTTCCTATATGATTTAGCGAAAGTGAGATCATAACCCTCTGAATAGAGGATAGACTTACACCTCTGAGACACTGATTCAATGGGTTCATGATAGTCAGTCAATGGGATTCAATAGATGGATAATTAGAAGCACTACTGATATCTTAATTGGGCTGAGCATGTTCTACTGAGATAGCAAGGTTCTCTTTGTATAAGTTCCACAAAAGGATGTTACAACTAGTTGTAGTAGAATTAAACGATCATAATCGTGTATCCTTAAGATCTATCTGTGATCTCATATCTAAACTTTTACAGCCAGTTTTGGGGGTTCTTGATCAGGTTTATCAATACATCTAAGCCTGCTGCTTAATTTAAACTCTGGAGCGGTCTTCTGGTTATAAAAGGGCCATTTTGATTATTATTAAGCTTATTCGATTGCCTTAATGCTTCTTGCCTCAATAAGAAATCAGATATCTGTTCTGTTGTTGGAGATATACTCTATGTGTTGTTTATAATTATATATTATTTTCATGGATATTTTACCCTCGCTTGTTCTTTTTATCTGGCATGTTTCTAAGAAGCCAGGTGAACCTCTCCTTCTGGGTTTTATCTTGTTAATTTTAAATATTCAACACATCTGCATACGCTTGGGGTTTTGGGGTTTTGGGGTTTTGGGGTTTTGGGGTTTTGGGG